GGGAAAAAGGGACGGTAGGGTTATAATTGAAAGAAAATTTGAGGTTAAAAACAGAAAGTGGATTGCGGGTGGCAAGGAGGTTTTAGGTGGGTAGGGGGTGTGTAGCAGGTGTTTACATTGAAGATTATGTGAACAGTATTTAGATAAAGATAGGGAAGTTTTTATTTCTTTATGGATTTAAAAAGGGATATGATAGAGTGGATAGGGGCAATTGGAGATTTGCAAAAATATGGGAAAAGGGGGTAAAATTATTAAATGCTGTAAGGTTTTTTTGAGGATGTGAGGCTAGGTTGGGTGTGTAGAAGAGAGGGGGGCTACTTCCCGGTAAAAGTAGGCTTAGAAGGGATGTGTAATGTCACCATGGTTTTTTTATATTTTATAGATGGGGTTTTTTAAAAAGGAAGTAAATGCTAGGGGGTTTGGGAGAGGGGTGGGATTAAATTATGGGGAATCAAATTCAAAAAAGGGGAATTTTACCAGTTACTTTTTGCTGATGATACGTGCTTTGGGGATTCTAAAGAAAATTGCAAAAGGGTTAGGGGTGGTTTGGGGGGTGTTGAAATTGGGGGGGAAATTTTGGGTGGTGGGGGGTCTTTTGATAAGGTTTTGGGGCAAATTGGGGAGGAGGGTAGGGTGGAATTTTTCTCTTGGGAAAGTTATGTGGCGGATGGATTTTTGAAGGATGGGTTAAAATTTTTATGAATTGATGAGGAAAAAAGGTTGAGTGGTGGTTGAGGTATATGTGGAGTCAAAAAGTTATCTATGGAGGCAAAGAAGGGGAAAGTATGAAAGTATAGTGTTAAAAACACCTTATATGGGTGTGAAGCTTGGGTGGGAAATGCAGCAGGAGGAGACGGTTGGAGGCAGCGGAGAGTCCTGTTTAAGGGGAATGGTGGTGTAAATTTATGCAGAAATTTGGAGTGTGGAAATTAGGGGAAGGTGTGGGGTTAATAAAAGTATTAGTCAGAGGGCAGAAGGGGGGGTTGTTGAGGTGGTTTGGTTTATTTTGAGAGAATGGTCCAGTTTGAATGACAGGAAAGATATAAATCTATAGGGGGAAGGAAAGGGGGGTAGGGGCGTCCCGAAAAGGGGTTTGGGGAGAGGGGTTTAAAAGGGGGTTTTGTGGGAAGGGGCTTTTTTTTGGACTTCCAGCAAGGTGCGTGAGGTGTTAGATGGAGTGAATGGAGCGAATGGTACTTGGGACCTGAGATCTGTTGGGTGTGGCGGGTAATTTTAGTGAAGGGTTCGGGAAACGGGGTTTTTTTCATTAGTCGGACTTTAGTCCTGGAAATGGGAAGTACAAAGCCTGACTTTTAAAGGAGGGGGTTTGGGGGTATGGCGTTTGGGGGATATGTTGTGTATTTTTATGTTTTGCTTCTGCTGTTGTATTCTGAGCCCTCGCAAAAACAGTGTAATGTGCGGGTGGTGAAATGTTGAATGATGATGAAAGTATTTTCTTTTTGGGGATTTTCTTTCTTTTTTGGGTCACCCTGCCTGGGGGGAGAACCCCGACTTTTTTGAAAAAAAAAAAAAAAAAAAAAAATTTTTTTTTTTTTTGCAAAAAAAAAAATTTTTTTTTTATTTCCAAAAATAAATTTTTTTTTAACATGGCCATTTCCCACAGAGGTAAGGGGACCCAAAAAAAAAATTTTCACTTCATTCACACTTACCTGTCTTGCCAAGGCAGCAGATGCAACATTTTCGTGCCCCCCCAAAACAGAAAAATATCCCCCCCCCTCGTCCCCAGAGTGCAAGCACTGTACTTCTCCCCCCAAAAGACCAAGTCCACTAATTTTTTTCCCCTGAATCCCTTCACAAAATTTTACCTTGCTCACACCCCAACAGCTCATTGGCCCCCTAGCTATTTGCCTCTACTCACCCCTATTTTTTGCTCCACACCCTGCGGATGCCCAAGCTTTTGCAACAAGACCACTTTCCCCCTTCCCCCCACCTTTCCTAAGACGACCTTACCTGGCCCCTTTTCCCCATACAATTTATGCACCCCCCAAGTGACCAACACTTTAAATATTAGCCCACCTCAACACCTCTCCTCAACCCTTCAATAAACTTTTAGATTTCCCACCCTTCTTTTAAATCCAAAACTAAAATTTTTCTAAAATAGGATTTACTCTGTTATTTCCTTTGACTGACGTCTCCATGCCCCCAGCTCTCTATGCAACTTTAAAAAAAAAACCCAAATTTTACATCCTTAAAGAGTGTTGGTACCCTATACTTTTTTACATTTCTCTCTCTGCCCCCATGGATAACATTTTTGTCTACAGATACCTCAATGCCCCACCCCCCCCTTTTTCCTTCTTCAGCGCGGTTCACTTTCTTCATATCCCCCATCTGCTGACAAGTTCACTCCCCAATATTGAACAATTCACTTCCTCCATATCCCTCCAATCTGATACCAATCTTTCATTACCTAACTTTTTTGTTCCCTCATCACCTTTTTCATATCATGTTCATTTTCATTTTCCCTTGTACCCCCTCCCAAATTTGCCCACTAACCTTTGAAAACTTCCCTTCAAAATCTTTAAAAGACTGTATCAGCAAAAAAGAATGACAACTCCCATTTTGTATTGTTTTACTATTTAACCCCAACCTTTTCCCCAACACCCTAGCAGCATTCACTTCTTTTGCATCCCTTTTGGGGACATGCAGCAGGATGTGTGAGCGTTTTTGTTAGGGTGGTGGAGTAATGATTTTTGGGAAATTTAAAGGGCTGTTGGAATGTGAGCAGGGTAATATTTTGTGAAGAGATTCAGGAAAACCTGTTAGCCAGACTTCAAGTCCTGGAGGTGGGAAGTACAATGCCTGTATTTTAAAAGAGGGGAGTTTGGGATATTGGCTGTTTGGAGTGACATCTGAGCTGTTGTATCTGAGCGCCTCTGCAAAGAGAGTGATTACGTGTAATGATGGTGATTTTTTTTTTTTTGGGGGGGTCACCTTTCCTCGGTGGGAGATGCTAACGTATAAAAAACAAACAAAACATTCTGTTCATTTTATTTCTTGTTATGCATTTAGTGAAAGCCCTTGTTCAGGCAGTAGATTTTTTTGTTTGTTTTTTTTCCGTGGCAACCCCATTTTTACTGTGTATTAAATTAAATTAGTATTCGAGTTTACATTTTAAATTTATTGCTGCCAAAACTTGGCTAATTACTGTGGTAGTATGCTTCATTTCCTAGTATTACCTCAACATAGCTAGCTTGTCTCCTAGTGACAAAATTAAAATAGAGATAACATGTCTTATTTTTTTTTATGTTTATTTGCATTTTCTGAAAATTCATTTGAGAACATACAACTTGAATCTACCAAGAAGCTTAGCTATTGTATGTGCTCAGGGTACCATTTTATAATGTAGATATTCTTTAGCATGATGAGAAGTTAACTATGAAGCTTTTAACTATATGAATTTTTGTTTTGAGTATATTATTTTTTGGGGATTGGCTTGATCATAAATTCCCGAAGATGGATTAATTTGAGTCACTGATTGATGTAGGTGACTGTGTTGCAGCTAAGATTTCAGTTGTCAGCTTTTGTTGAAGACATAGTATACCCCAGCCAGCCAAGGATAAACCCAAATTCATTCTACATTGGATGCAGTGTGATAATTTGGGAAAAATAATAAAATGGATGTTCTACAAATGTGAATAAATCTTAAAAATGATTTAAAGAGATGATAAAAAAGAAAAAAAAGAAAAACTGCTGGATATGATAACGTGTGCAATGTTGTGGTGGATTCCAGACATTGACGGTTCTGTGGCACAGTAGTGGATAAAGAATGGATGGAACAGTTACAGTGACATGAATAGAAATTTAAAAAAGTCTGTAATTTTTAATATAAATAATTAAAAGAAAATATTAAGAATTGCTATTTGGTGTGGTCAAAGTAAAAAACAGCTTTTTACTTTCCAGAAGACTGGACAGTGGTGGCATCGTTTCACAGGGGTGTAAGTGGGGGGTGTGGCCGGGATAAAAGACACGTGCTTTAAATCGTCATGCTGCCCAGGCTCATGGTTTGCCCTACGGCGGGTTCCCCTAGACCCTCATGAAAAAAAAGGGCAGCCATCATGGTCCATACTACCTTCCCTTCGTGTCATGCGCGGCTTTGTAAAAGTTTTAAAATCCCCCTAGGAAGGCTAGCCGCAATCCAACATGGCCTGTAAATACTACCAATATCCGGCAAGAGAGTAAGTTATGTGCCAGGACATTCTGAATTGAAATATCTTATGGAAAAGTTGGCAATAATATTAATGATCAGCATCATTAGCTTAGCAGTTGTGAAAATAGATATTAACCTGAAATCCTCAGAGAAGGGTTTTAGCATATAATGAATGCATGGGCCACTATATGGATAACGTTTCAGGTCTCCTGCGCATGGGTGGGAAATCCTTTGATGATTTTGCATACCTGGTGAAGCGTGGGACGGGGCGGCGACGAGGGAGAGTCTCTCAGGTCTCAGTCCGCTTAGGTCAGAAGAACTCGGCTTGCCCTGCCTGGATGCTCCCTACGGACAAGTCGCTCCTTCCCAAACAACCCCACATTGCATTCCCAAAACCTCCCAAGGGACCAGGTTGGTTTGTTGATCACACACTATGGGTTTCAACATTGTTTTAGTTTCATTTTGGAGTCATATGTTGAATTCCCCTTTTTGCCTGAATCATTAATGAGGGCAAAAGGCTGTCAGTCATGGTGGTTGGAGAGAATCGGCAAAGGTCCTTCAAGGTAGTGGTTGATACTTGGATCATGGCTTACACCACACCCACATCTTGTAGTCTGTGGCTTGTTTAATGACTTGTTATTTCATGTTGCAGCTTGAAGGGCTTCTGCATATTTGTGACTGGGAAGGTTTTTGTTATATGTTTCTCTAATTGCTGCTTGCTCAAGGTTCTTTTTAGGTACCTCTGTGATTCCTGCTTATTACTCGTAAGTTTCTTACTATTTTTAATTTGCCAATTATACGATATGGTGTACAGAAACTTTATGACTTTCAGATGGCAGTTTGATATACACCCCAATACCCAACAAGGAGCTTCCTGTGGTGAACAATACCTCCCCGAGTCTTCTAAAACGTCGGGCTTATGAAGAAACCAATGGCATGGACGGTAAGTGTTCTCCACATGCTTATTTTTAGTATTTTATTTTCCTCTAGTCACTATCTTTACCAACTTTGAATAACTGACCAGGCATTGTGGCCAGTGTTTAATAAGACTGTTAATTGTGGGTTAGTGATATATCATCAGATGTGAGGGTTTCTGTATTCTGTGTATATCTTGTATTATTAAGTCAATTTGCCTTCTGCATTTTTTATAATTCATTTAAGATTTTTGTATCTTAGATTCCTTTGCTTTATAGACCTAGTTGATGATTATTTTTTTTATTTTTTGAAGTTGCAGGTGTAATTTGCAATCATTCATATTGCCCACTCATGTAGGTTACTTGCACATACAACAACAAAATGTAATGAATGCCCAGAGGGACTTCTTTGCTTGTATATTCCTCTTTGTATTTATATATTTTAGGCTTTGATCAATAGACACTCAGTGCAGTGAAATCTTCATTGGTACAGTGTTTCACCTCTAATTGGATTGGGACTAATAAAGGCTTCACTAAAGTCTTCATATATTATTTGTTGGCATTATTCCTTTATTTAGTATTTGTTAGTTTTAATTTCCTGTTGGTTTGGCTTGAACAGATGTGTACTAAGCTGTATTAAAATTAAATTTAATTAACAAAGCTATTTTAATAAACTAGGTAGTAGGTTGGTAGACAGCAACCACCCAGGGAGGTACTACCGTCCTGCCAAGTGAGTGTAAAACGAAAGCCTGTAATTGTTTTACATGATGGTAGGATTACTGGTGTCCTTTTTTCTGTCTCATGAACATGCAAAATTTCAGGTACGTCTTGCTACTTCTACTTATACTCAGGTCACACTACACATACACGTACAAGCGTATATATACATACCCCTCTGGGTTTTCTTCTATTTTCTTTCTAGTTCTTGTTCTTGTTTATTTCCTCTTATCTCCATGGGGAAGTGGAACAGAATTCTTCCTCCGTAGGCCATGCGTGTTGTAAGAGGCGACTAAAATGCCGGGAGCAAGGGGCTAGTAACCCCTTCTCCTGTATATATTACTAAATTTGAAAGGAGAAACTTTGGTTTTTTCTTTTGGGCCACCCCGCCTCGGTGGGATACGGCCGGTGTGTTGAAAGAAAGAAAGATTTTAATAAAGTAGCCATCTGAGCATAAGGAAAATACTAATGGATTATAGTACCAAGCAACATTATGAGTATCTAGACTCTTGAAAATTCTGCTTGATAAAAATTTTTAGTTTTAGAGATTGACTTGTGCTTGGCTGTAGTACAAATATAATTTTACTTTAAGGTCTTATGTAATATTTATGAAGTGCAATAAATGTGTTAATAATGGGGATTGATTTTTTTTTTTTTTTTTTTTTTTTTTTTAACAAGTCTGCCGTCTCCCACCGAGGCAGGGTGAACCAAAAAGAAAGAAAATCCCCAAAAACAAAATACTTTCATCATCATTCAACTCTTTCACCTCACTCACACATAATCACTGTTTTTGCAGAGGTGCTCAGAACACAACAGCTTAAAAACATATACGTATAAAGATACACAACATATCCCTCTATACTGCCAATATCCCGAACCCCTCCTTTAGAGTGCAGGCATTGTACTTCCCATTTCCAGGACTCAAGTCCAGCTATATAAAAATAACCAGTTTCCCTGAATCCCTTCTAAATATTACCCTGCTCTCACTCTAACAGATCATCAGGTCCCAAATACCATTCGTCTCCATTCACTCTTATCTAACACGCTCACGCACGCCTGCTGGAAGTCCAAACCCCTCGCCCACAAAACCTCCCTTACCCCTTCCTTCCAACCTTTTCGAGGATGACCCCTACCCGGCCTTCCTTCCTCTACAGATTTAAATGCTCTCCATGTCATTCTACTTTGATCCATTGTCTCTAAATGATCAAACCACCTCAACATCCCCTCTTCAGCCCTCTGACTAATGCTTTTATTAACTCCACACCTTCTCCTAATTTCCACACTCCGAATTTTCCGCATAATATTTACACCATATATTGCCCTTAGACAGGACATCTCCACTGCCTCCAACTGCCTCCTTGCTGCTGCATTCACAACCCAAGCTTCACACCCATATAAGATTATGTTGATTATGTTTAGATTAAATTGAAGCTCAGTCAAAATGTATTTTGAGTTAATGATCATAATGTGTGTGCACATGTATATGAGTGTATGGGGGTTAACATGCATGCACATACACCTGCTTGTGTATACATTTGTCTGTAAATGCCAAGGAAAGTGTATATTAATTTATTTTAATTTGAAGTTGGTTATGGAGTTCAACAGCAGAAGTTTTTCAATGTTCTCTTCTAGATCAATTGAGGATATGTTGCTTGCAAAAGTTAATTATTATTTTTTTCTTTTAATTCTTTTGTACTGGTACTGCTATAAATGACTGTTCATCTTTCATCCCTTCCCATCTGTGACTTAACCTAAAAGGATAACTTTTTTATTTTAATATGATATTAATTTATCTTAGTTTGTATTATAATTTGGTTCATCTCTGTGCCAGGGTGGTTGCTGTTGCTCATCATCTATCCAGCCAGCTAACCGTTAATTAAATTTTCTACTAAATTATTTGAATCCTTTTTCTTATCACTTGAGAGAGTTGTTGAAAATACTCATGCAATGCCTCGTGTATTGATTATTTTATTTTTTCAAATGCTTTTGTAAACAGTACTAAATATTCAGTTGAGTTTGTCGTCTTGGATAACAGCTTGCCTTCCTAGATTCATTAATCTGTATAATTAGGCATACATCTCATCAAAAGTTTGAGGATATACAAGCAAAGATAGATAACGTGGAAGATAAACTGATATATTGCTCTAATTATGTAAACTCTGGGAATGGCAGAGGTTGACCATAGATACTATTAGCATTTAGATAATTGGCAAGTGTTAATAGAATGTTGAAGCTCTAAGTGTTTATCTTATTTCAAACTTAAATTTACAAACATGATTATGGTGCTTATGCAGTCCTAGATGTCTTTTCTGAAAATAATTTTTTAGTATATTTATTCATTTATATTTGCAGTTTTGGGATCTAATTACAAATACCCAGCACATAGGAGAATGCAACTTTGGACGACATTTTAGTCCAACTTGAACCATTACCTAATCAGTGTTCCAAATTAGACCAATACATCGTTATATGTTTCAGTATCCTTTGTGTGGGTTATTTGTGTATTGTTCCAGTCATGGTAGTGTGCCTTTTTATTCTTTTTGGGGTTTAATTTATTAATTATGGAGATAAAATTAGAGTTAATATTCCTCTATTTACAGTCATTTTTGTATTCCTTCATTTACAGTCATTTATTATAACTTAATTTGAGTTCATAACGTCTCTGGCTGTATACTTTAGAGGTGGTATATGTATAGATTTATTATGAAATCTGGTAGGTTATGGGAAACAGTAGTCACAGGGAGGGTGCCATTGTTGGAGATCTTTCCAGTTAAAGCCTCATAGCTCAGTGGATGTGCCACCACCAGGGCCACATAGGAAAGAGTAAGATGATGAGGGTAGCAAAAAATGTAGGCAAAGACTGGATATCAAATTGGAGGGAAGGAGTATGGAGGAAGTGGATGTGTTGTTAGGTAAGACACATATGCAACAGTTAGGTATCTTTATTATGAAACGTTTCGCCTACACAGTAGGCTTCTTCAGTCAAGTACAGAAAAGTTGATAGAAGCAGAAGAAACTTGAAGACGATGTAATCAGTCCATCACCCTTAAAGTTTTGAGGTGGTCAGTCCCTCAGCTCTTCTCCAGACTGAGGGACTGACCACCTCAAAACTTTAAGGGTGATGGACTGATTACATCGTCTTCAAGTTTCTTCTGCTTCTATCAACTTTTCTGTACTTGACTGAAGAAGCCTACTGTGTAGGCGAAACGTTTCATAATAAAGATACCTAACTGTTGCATATGTGTCTTACCTAACAACCTGTCGGTATTTTATACCATTTTAATGTTCAAGTGGATGTGTTCTGATATTTGGGAGTAGACTTGTCAGCAGATGGGTCTATGAAAGATTAGGGGAACCATAGAATTGGCAAGGGGAAAAAGGTGAGTGGTGCATTGAGGCACCTGTGGAGATGTTATCCATGGAGGCAAAATGGGGAATATATGAAAATATAGTGGTGCCAGTGGGGGTGAAGCATGGGTTGTGAATGCTGCTGTGAGGTGGAGGCTAGAGACCGTGGCGATGATGTGTCTGAAGGCAGATTAGGAGGAGGTACGGGGTTATTGAAAGTGTTATCCAGAGGGCTGAGGAGGGGTATTTGAGGTGGTTTGGATATTTATAGAGAATGGAGGAAAATAGGATGATGTGGAGGGTGTATAAATCTGTAGGGAAGGGAAAATGGGGTAGGATTTGCCCTAGTAAATGTTGGAGGGAGGAGGTAAATGAGGCTTTGTGTGCAAGGGGCTTGGACATCCTGCAGGTGTGTGAGCATGTTAGGAGTGAGTGGAGGCAAATGGCTTTTAGGACTTGATGAGCTGTTGGAGTGTGAGCAAAGTAACATTTATGAAGGGCCTTGGGGAAACTGGCTAGCTGGATTTGAGTCCTGGAGGTGGGAAGTACAGTGCCTGCACTCTGAAGGAGGGATGGGGATATTTGCAGTTGGTGGGAGGGGATTTGAGCTGTGGTGTCAGTGCATCTCTGGCAAAATAATGATAAATTGAATCATGGTGAGTTTTTTTTTTTTTTTTTTTTTTTTTTTTTTTTTTTTTTTTTTTTTTTTTTTTTTTTTTTTTTTTTTTGGTCATCCTACCCTGTTGGGAGGTGGCCAGTGTGTTAAAAACAAAAACAAAATATTGAAATTGGTATAGTGTACTATGCATCTCCTCATGTTTCACATGCTGAAGCACTTGAAAATCACTTCTAACAAAAGTAGTGTACATATTGTCAGTCACTGAAAACAAATGCTTGAAGAACAATCATAATTTGGCATAAATTGTAAAAAATACTGTTGGGTGTATTCAAGCCCATGTTGCCG